TGTGGGCGCGAGGGGCGGCCGGGGAGGCCGGGCCTCCTCCCCGCGGGTCTGCGATGTCAGAAACGTGTACGCGGGGCTGAAATAAGGGAAAGGGGCTGCCGCGGGCTGCCAGACTTACTACCTGCAAATTGTGAGAAAGCGGATGGGCTGCGACGCCGTGAATGCTGTTGTGGGCTTGGGTGTTGTAGACCCGTTTTGTAATGACTGACGAGGGGCGGCCGGGGAGGCCGGGCCTCCTCCCCGCGGGTCTGCGATGTCAGAAACGTGTACGCGGGGCTGAAATAAGGGAAAGGGGCTGCCGCGGGCTGCCAGACTTACTACCTGCAAATTGTGAGAAAGCGGATGGGCTGCGACGCCGTGAATGCTGTTGTGGGCTTGGGTGTTGTAGACCCGTTTTGTAATGACTGAGGGTCCTGCGGTACGGATAAGACTGAGGAAATCATTCCACAGCATTGCGAAGGAGGGAGGGAAACACAAGTCCACTGTCCGGAATAAAAAGGTTTAGATTAGATCTTTGCCCTCTTTAATCTTTCTACAGTCGAAAAAGTTAAGTTTCTAAAGCTGCAAGTAAAAGCATACTTTACATATACTCTTGCACCTTGTTTTTCCTCTTAAATGTGTCTGAGATGTCAAGGCATAGACAAAAACAGAGGCACTTAGCTCTTTTTTTTTTTTTTTAACTTACATATGCTAGTGTTCGAGCTCCCCGTTATTGCTATACAAATGAAACAGTGAACGTACTTGAGGTTATTTCATTTTTGCAAACTTATAGTATGGAATTTTGATAACAGATGTTGCCTTCAGAGGAAAAATACTGTTCCAGTTTACACTCCTACCAGCAAGAACACTCCTCTAACGCAGACCGTGTTCTTTTCCTTATGGGCAAAACGGAATCTTGTTTTAATTCACATTTTGTTGCTTATTAAAAGGCTAGGTGTTTTAAGCTTTTACAGTTGTCACTTTATGGATTATAGTTTTATGTATTGAGTTTCAACCAGCTCTTTATACTTTACTGCCTTAAAAAAAAAAACTTTAAATAGCTTTATTTTGGGCTTATCTTGCTTTAGAAAAATCCACTTTTGTTCATTCTTGGAAATTACGGTAGATTCTGGTGGTGCCGGGAATCGAACCCAGGACTTAATATATGCTAGTCAATTGCTTTACCATGGGGCTTTTATTTCTAGCCCACGATTATGAAATTTTAATTTACTCATAGCATTGATACTAGGTATTCAATTGCTAATTTAAATGTATATTTCCAAAATTTAAATCAGTAAAGTAGAAAGTAAATATACTAGTCTTACTGTTTATTACACTAATTTGTGAAATTTTAACTTGTGTTTCATACCTGGACAGAAAGCGTAGTTCGATGGTTAAAGCAGAGATGAGGAATTTAAAAGAACAGTGGTTTGGTCTCTGAATAACCATTTTGTTATGCAAATGGAGTCAAATTGAGTCAAAGAAAAAAATTAATATTACTATATATGTAGATTATAGCAAAGGACTGACAATGTTTACCTGAGTTTTTATATTTAGTATATTAGAGCCCAGCATTGAAAAGAAGCATAACTTTTTGGTTTTTTTTGGTTTTTGTTTTTCGAAACAAGCTCTCACTATGTAGGTCAGGCTGGCCTTAACTCACTATGTAGCTGGGGCTGGTAAACTTGGAGCAGTCTTCCTGCTTCAGCCTCCCGAATGCATACTCCCCCGTGCCCAGCTCAAGAAGCATAATCTTTTTTCATTCCTTATATACAATTCTTAAAATTACAGAATGAAAAATATTTACCTTATGGTAATGTTTTCTTTACCACCCTTACTGTTTTTACATTTTTACAGTTCAGAGAAACCCAACTGGGATTACCATGCTGAGATACAAGCTTTTGGACACCGGTTACAAGAAACCTTTTCCTTAGATCTTCTCAAAACTGCATTTGTTAACAACTGCTATATTAAAAGTGAAGAGGCAAAACGTCAGATGCTCGGCATAGAGAAAGAAGCTGTTCTTCTGAATCTTAAAGACAATCAAGAACTATCTGAACAGGGGATTTCTTTTTCTCAAACATGCCTCACACAATTTCTTGAAGACGAGTACCCAGACTTGCCTAGTGAGGGCATCACAAACCTGGTTAACTTTCTTACTGGTGAGGAAGTTGTGTGTCATGTGGCTAGAAACTTGGCTGTGGATCAGTTGACACTGAGTGCAGAATTCCCAGTCCCCCCACCTGTGTTGCAGCGGACTTTCTTTGCAGTGATTGGAGCCTTGCTACAGAGCAGTGGACCTGAAAGGACTGCACTTTTCATTAGGGTAGGTAGTAATGTGATTAATGGCATATGCTTGGACATGCCTAAGGTGGACAGAAGGAACAATTTCCTTTTCTAATTTACTTTGTTGATATAGCACCCTGGAAATGAATTTTTCTCCCAGCAAAAACTGACAAGGATGGAAAGATCTTTTTAGGGAAAGGCTTGAATTATTTTAGTCTTTTGTTAAGACATTGTCAGAATTGAGTAATAAATTCTGGGTTGTAGTTCTGAAGGAGGGCAAGTTGTAAGTCTTGTCACCTTTAGCTTTTACATACTCAGGTCCACAGATAATGCATGCATGGTAGATAGTCCTGTTAGACGTTTGATGAATGAATCAGATGTGCAAGGACACCTGAAGGACACTGCAAGGATATAGGGTGATTGGGAACTTAATGCTTGAATGCCCTTCCTTTGCTCTTTCAAGTGATAAAGTCTTGGATTTCTGAGTCCCTATGATATACAACTAGCTGTCTGCTAGCCAGGAGTTTATAGTTCTTATGTAATTAGTACCACTTGACTCGGATTGTCCTATCAGAGTTTATTAACTGGGAAGAGTTTTATCCTCTATTATTGGATGAAAAGATGTCCACTGTTCTTTAATAAAGAGTCCGCATAATCACCTTAGTTGTTAACAGTCTTGATTTAGACATTGAATGCCAGGTCCTTTGAACCAGCCTCACTTGCGGTTGGAATCTACTCATCTAGTTAGATAAATCTGATCATTTTGTTAGAAAATTAGACCTATATTAATCAACATGTCAGACTTTGTTCATAGGTAAGCCCTTTTTTTTCCTCCTTCCCCAGGAAGGGCCTATAGTAGAAGTGATATTTTCTATTAATGAAGCTGAAATAGAGTTCTGGTTCCTGGAGGATTGTTGCAATGAAAGTGACTTATTTCATGAATTAAAGGTTCTTTTTCAATTTCTTCGCTTCTGCCACCATTCATCCATCCTGTTATATTACTGATATTTGTTCATTTGAGTTCATTTCAACGTATACATTGCTGTGAAAATTAGAAGTATTATCAAGTCAAACAGTTAAAGGGTAGCATATGAGAAATTATTATTTAAATGATTTTCAAAAACTTAGTGTTATCTAGAGGCTGTGTCTACATGAGTTTCTGGCAGAAGTTATTACTGTTGATTAATTCAACTCTTTAATGGAATGTAATTCTGTATTATAAGATAGGATTCTATCTGTTGTGTAATTCTGGTCGATCATATTGCCCAAAATAGTTTTCTCAGGGTTTCCAATTTAGCTATGATTTTTGTAATGAAATTGATAGGGAAAAAAACTACATGAGGGCTTAGGGATATTGCTCAGTAGCAGAGCTCTTGCCTAGGATGCAGAAGACCCTAAGTTCATTCCCTACCACTGGGTGTGGGGGGGCTATCAGAACTAAAAAGAATACAGGCTGAGGCTTCCTCATCCAAAATGCTTGGTACCAGGAGGATTTCACATTTTTGATATTTTCAAATTTGGAATATTTGCAAGGCTTTGTAGATTTTGATATCCTAATCTGGAAATCTACAGTTTGAAATCCGAATTACTCTAGAATCTCTAGAATCTCAGCCTTTTAGAGCATTATATCAATGCTCAGAAACTTTCATGTTCTGGATTGTTTCCGATTTTGGATTTTGAGAGTGGTACATTTCGCCTTTCATTTCCCGTTAAGTTTGTTATTGAACACGTACTTTGGATTCAAGCCCTTAAGCTCTTTGTCCTAATTCGGATGTATTAAATACTATTTTGTATGCAGGACTTCCTAATTACTCACCTGACTGGAAAAGAGCTATTTGAGATGTGGAAGATAGTAAATCCCATGGGGCTGCTGGTGGAAGAATTGAAGAAGAGAAACATTCCAGCGCCTGAGTTCAGACTTACCAGGCAGTCTGGGAGCACCACGGCTTTGCCTCTGTATTTTGTTGGCTTATACTGGTAAGTAAAATCTTAATCTTAAATTCGTAACTTTTGATTGGAAGCCTTAAAAATAGACTCTAGAGTCCTCAAGGTTCTTTTTACTTTTTTGAGACAGGGGCCCAGCCTGCCCAGCCTGGGCTCAGACTGCAGCCCCTTGGGCTCAGGTTTCTGAGTAGCTGGATCACAGGTGCACCATGCTGGCATTTCCCTCACATTTCTCTAACATGACCTCGGATAACATGAGGAGACTTTTAAAGACCCCATGCCCGTGATTGTGCATTTATCACTTCTTTCCTTTCTGGTTATTTCTGTAGAAGGCGAGTAATGTATGTTTTGCTTTCAGTAGTTTTTATTAGACAGCTCTTTACTATAGAATTTCATGGGATATATGGTAACCTAAAATTTTCTGTACACAAATAAAAGGCTTGACTCATATGTTAAAAGTTTTAACCTTAGTCTACTCTTGTAAACAGCTTTAAATGAGCCTAAAAGTGAAAAAGGAGAGGCTTAGTTATCCATCAAAATGTATCGATCAGGGCTGGGGATTTAACTCAGTGGTTCCGCTGGCTGCCTTGCAAGCACAAGGTCCTTGAGTTCAAACCCCAGAAAAAAAAAAAAAAAAAAAAAAGTATAAATCAACACATATTGAGAGCGTTTTAGTTTGTTAGCAACGATTTCAGGCGCTGAGATGAAAATGGGCTGGTTATTCAGTGGTGGAGCACTTGCCTAGCATGCACAGGGCCCTGGGTTTCATTCCTCTTAACACGAAGTAAGTAAATAAATAAGCTAAATATTGACTCATATTCAGTTGAACATCTAAGATAACTAGATTAAGATTTAGGTAAGGCCAGGGATTTAGCTCAGTGGTTCCAGTGCCTATCTAGGAAGTGCAAGGGCCAAAGTTCGATCCCTGGCACCAAGAAAAAAAAAAAAAAAAAAAGATTTAGGTATTTAGGTAAGTATTTTTCTACTCTGCATCACAGAGGACCTTATTGGGTATAAAAGCATTGGAAGTCATAATAGGAAGAAATTAGAAGTTAGTGTTGTAAAAGTTTCATCTTCAATTTTATTTGAAATGGAAGGCAAAAACAATGATCTTTTTGCTTATCAGATTGGTAAACCTTAAACACATCCTTTATCAGCGCTTCGTACACTGCCATAGAAGAAAAAATGCAGTATTATTGTAAGATTTTAACAGAATGCTAGGACTCTTTAAAATTTTTACCCCATTTAATTTGATATTTCTTTTTCTTTTCTTTTTTTGGTGTTTTGAGACAGGGTCTCACTATATAGTTGAGACTGCCCTGGAACTCACTATGTAGCCCAGGCTGGGTGAATTTGCAGTGATCCTCCTGCCTCAGCCTCTCAAGTGCTGGGATTATAGGCGTGCACCACCACGCCCAGCCTATATTTCTACTTTTTGATTGTCTTAAGGTTGCAGACAAAAATTTGTAGAGAAAGATATTCATTTGTTGCTTGTTTTTCTGGTATAGGACTTGAACTCAAGTCCTTGTGCATGGCTGGACAAGCAAGCACACTACCTCTAAGCTACATCCCAGCCCTTTTTATTTTTCTAATTTTGAGACAGAGTCTCATTAAGTTGCTCAGGTTGGTGTATGATCCTTCTGCCTCAGCCTCTGGACCAGCTGGGATTACAGGAGTGTACCTTCATGCCAGGCTTGTTTATTTTTTTCTAGAATTTTTTTTTCCTAGTATCAGGGATTGAACTCAGGACCTTGTGCCTGCAAGGCAGTCGTGGTGCCACTGGGCTAAATCCCCAGCCCTTATTTATTTTTTTAACCTCTTTATACCCCACACCTAGAATTCTTGGGACATGGTGGTCAGTATATAGTTATGGAATAAAATTACAGCCCTGAGTGGTGGCTACACTTGTAATCCCAGGACTTGGGAGGCTGAGACAGGAGGTTCACTCTGAGTTTGAAGCCAGCCTGGACTACGTAGAGATACCCTGTCTCATAAAAACCAGAAAGAAGGAAAATAATTTACAGACAAGGAAAAGAAGTACGCACACAATGAGATATAGTTGTTACTACAGGTAATTCTTTAATGAATTTTTATTTTTTTAATGAATTTTTAGTGACAGTTTTTGGGGAGCAATCTTTCAACTAAAAAAATGAGTAAGAATAATTTTTCGTATTACAGTGATTTTCTTTGGGTAGTTTTTTTTTTTTTTTTTTCCCCTTAGATTTCTAGGTGATAACTTAAAGATAATTGGTGATAGAATAGCGGCATCATGAGACTAAGAATGTGATGATAAACCTGGGCTTGAACTTCACTTAGGTGATTTTCTCTATGGCCCACTTTGCAATATCACAAAATTTAACGTCATATCATTAACCTGTTTCATTTTTAACTTACCATCGTAGCAAATGTTTCTTAGCAAATGCCTTCTGTGTCGTAGTTTTGTTTTGTTACCTATGTAGCTCTACTTTGTTTTCCTTTAACTTGGTTTTGGTTTTCTGAATTTTCAGATCACTTTACATCAACTTCAGGCATTGCTGTGCATGAATCTTTCAGATAAATGCTGCTTTTGTGTAGGTGAAATTTTAGATAAAGTTTCTAGGAATTAGTTAAATATAATTGAGAAGTAGCAAAACAAATAGGGTTGTAGTTTAGTGTACATATCATTGTTTCCTTGTAGGAACGACACTTAAAGGAGATAGCTACAGTAGTAATAATAGAAATATCAGTGAAGCCAATGAATTGGTTTTAGTTTTATCTACTTTTAATAGACTATGAATAGCCGATATGTAGTGTTCACTATTGCTTCTCACTATTTCTTGGGAATAACTTAGAGTACATTATAAATGTAGAAATATTTTTAAAATCAGAGTTTTGAAGATCTAAAATTTTTAATTAAAAATATGGAGCTGGTCAGGCTTGGTGGCGCACACGTGTAATCCCAGCACTCAGGAGGCTGAGGCAGGAGGACTGTCATGAGATTGAGGCCAGCCTGGGCTACATAGTGAGTTCAAGGCCAGCCTGAACTTCATAATGAGACCCTGTCTCAATAAAACAAAACAAAGCAACAAAAGACTGATATATCCTCCATTGTGATAGTTTAGATGATAAAACCCAAAGCCATAAGGTTTTCAGCACAATTTCCCTCAAGTTATAGTGTGAATCAAATAAATTAAAAATAACTAGTTATAATTCTCAGGAATATTTTTTAATAGTTTTAGGTTTTCACAAGAAGATGTATATTCCAGTTCTCCCATCAATAATTAAAACATGCACCAGTGCATTTGCCTTGGCATTTTTGACTTGAAAAATACCAAGCCCAGGCTGGGGATTTAGCTCAGTTGGTACTGCACCTGCCTTGTAAGTACAAGGTCCTGAGTTCCAATCCCAGTACTGAAACAAAACAAAACAAAAGAAAGAAAAATACTGGGCCTAGTATATTGTTTATATTTCTTTGTGTAGCTACTGTATAAAATGAACTTGAGAGAGAGAGAGAGTGTGCACGAGCGTACATGTGCATGCGTGAGCACGTGAGCCAAGACTGTCGTGTTACTTTGGCAGGTTAATCAACTAAGACTTGCAAGGCATAACTGCTTTGTATTCTGTCTTGTGCGGTACCGTGTCATTTAAGAGCACTGTTGTTTTCTTCCTAGTGATAAAAAGTTGCTTGCAGAAGGGCCTGGGGAGACGGTATTGGTTGCAGAGGAAGAAGCTGCTCGAGTGGCACTTAGAAAACTGTATGGGTTCACCGAGAACAGGAGGCCCTGGGACTACTCCAAGCCCAAGGAGAGCCGGAGAGCGAGGACCGTCAGCACCACCAGCACCGCCAGCTGACCCAGGTGGGGATGCGGCACCCTGACACCAGAGATGTTCCAAGCCAAACAGTTCCAGAATTGTAAATAAATGTCCTGTTCTTCATATTGTGTTTCCAAAATTAAATGTTTATTATATCAGGTTTTTGTTTTGTCAAAATTGGGTTTTTTTTCTTTCAATTTTCTAAGAAATTTTTTTCTGAAGTCCTTTTTTTCCCCCTAATTATATTGTGTGTATGGCTAGGTATGTTTTTTTTTCCCTTCCAACTGTGAGGTGTTACAGCTCAAGTCAGAGTGGCAAATGTCTTAGGGGAACTTGGCTATAAGACCGATAAAAGTCACCGTTCCTTTCAGGGTCATTTTGCAGTTTAACTTGTTGTACCCGGGGTGATAGGAAGTTACCAGCTTTCATTCTCATTATCTTTAGGATGGTAATGCTGTGACTTTCTAGATGTGCAAAGTATAGATCATAACTGACAGCTTTTTACATGATCTCTAGAGTCAAGGTTTAAAATTTTGTGTGTGTGATTCTTTAATTAATTAATTAATTAATTTTTTGTGGTACCGGGTATTGAACGCAGGTCCTTGAACCACTGAGCTAAATCCCCGGCCCTTATATGCTTCTTAATTTGATTTCTATAATGGCAGAAAAGTAAATTTTATGTTTTAAAGAAACTGCCTGTTCTAAGAAAAAGAAATTTGAAAGCAGCTTACGATATTGCTAATGGAAAATAAAGTTTGTATTTATCAATTCAGTTTGATATTCCATCATCATCATGGTTCTTTCGTACCAACCACTGTTCTAAGTATTATTAACACACTGAATTCAGTAGAAGGCAATCTTAGTGTCTTTCTAGTTCTTTAATCCTTTATACTCAGTTCAATACTCCTTTAGCCGCAAGTTCCCTTTGCTTTATTTTACCTTTCTGGCAGCAGTAATAGTTTTTAGCTTAAGCTGCTGGTTGTCACTCCCAGAGGTTAATAAGGAAAAAAATCAAGAGTGGAATTGAGAATAGAAAAGAAGAATGTTAAAGTAAACTATATTTTGCCATGAAATATATGTCTTTCCATGTCATTCTGCTCCCCCCTTCCCACATGGAAACATGAAGTGGCTAGAGAGCCGGAAGTGGATGTGGGGAGGGGAGCTCCTGGGAGAAGGTTAGCTCTCACCGTTGGTTTCGGTCAGTATCCTGCATGAAGGAGAAAAGCAGAGGCAAATATGAGTTTATCAAACAACTTCTAAGGGGACCCAAAGTGGTAGCCCGTCCTGTCAGGGTAGCACGTGAGAGAGCTGAAAAGGTGCAGGCAGGAGCTGCCTGATAGATCCAGTACCTTTGGGAGAGGTGACCATTCCACAGTGATGGGGTGAGGCGAGAACTCGTGAGTAATCCCTGATCTCATCCTGCTGCTGTTCGCTCCGCTCTTTCAGGGGCTCACATTGGCCGAAATTCATTTCACACCACACAGTGAGCAGGGGAGCTGGCAGAGGCAGTCCATAGACTCCTTCAAGACTGCCAGGTAGGAAGTGCTTCTGAAGTAGCCTATGGGAAAAAGACAATCTGTTACTCCGCTTGTTGACGAATGTGACAAGTTCCATGTGAGCTGGCAGGAAGAGCTACACGTCGACCTGGTTCACAATCTTGTGTTCATCTGTGACCCCAAGAAAATAAGAGCAAGAGTCCCCACACCCAGGACAAAGTCATCAGTTTAACATTCATTCTGAAGCTAGGAAGTAGCACTTCATGCTGCAGCTTTGTCTGCAGTGTATTTTACAGTTGTTTGGACTCAGGAAGTCTACTCCAAAGAGCCCGTGGGCAGCCGAGTCAGCGGTCCTTCCTGGAGCCCAGGCATACACTCAGCCCACCTGAACCACAGACAGCTCTGAGCCTGGCCAGGAAAGGAATTTGGGTCAGATGGAGGAGGGTTCACAGCTGTCGCAGGAGAAGAAGGCCCTGTTAGGAGGGGAAAATTAGAGAAGTATCTAGTGGCCGAACTGATAGATATAGGTGTAAGCTCACTTTTTCTTTTGAGTTGAGTCCATCTCCAGTAATTGAACACAGATTAGAGGATAAACACCCCTCGTGTTTGTCTTCAGAATAGCTCATTGGTACCGTGTGAGAAGGATTACACAATGAAAGTTTCTGGGACGCAAAGGACAGCATCGTCTAACCACTCTGCGTCCACTATTTCTGAAATGTCGTATTCTAGCTACATATACTACTCTAGGTTTTCTATGTAGGCATTTTTGAGTCTTTAGAGACTTGAGTTGCAAACTCAGTATCCTCACCCTACCCCAAGTAGTGTGGGAAATGCAGCTCCTTGCTCTGAGTGTGTTCAGCCCTTAGCCTGGAAGATCAGAGGGGCCCTCTCCTTACCTGAGATTTTCAGCCTCCTCAGCCTGGTTGCTTCTAGGTTTATATACTTATAACTATTTTCCAATCAAAGAGATCCATATTTCCTCTAAAATGTGATTTCAACACATTTCTAAGTAAAATCTTTGTTGAACTTTTTTTTGAGACAAGATCCTTACTAAGTAGTTCAGGGTGGGCTTGATTCATCACTCTGTAACCCAGGCTGGCCTAAAACTTGCAGCAGTCCTCCTCAGTGCTGGGATTATAGGTGTATGCCCCCACACCTGACTCAAATTGTCTATATTTTTTAAAGCACCCACTAAAATGTAATGGGCTGGAATGTAAAAAATTAACATACTTTACACTTCCATATGAAATGGCTAGAAATTTAAAATTGATTTCTGGTAACTGTTTTGTCCTTCGAGAGAGAATACACACTGAGTAAGTTTGATATGTGGCTAAGAGGAATACAGGAGCACAATGGCATTATCAAAGGGGGTGTGTGGCCAAGTGCCATTCACTGAACATTTGTTTTAAACTTAAATTTTTATTCACAGCAACTTTTAAAATTACAGCAAATTTACTCATACGCTGTGAACTCTGCCGTGCTACAGCTTGGCCACATGAGGCATAAAACACTTCAAGAACCTGAACATAAACCACATTTTCATAGCAAAGCTGGTCATGGTGCACATCTGTAATCTCAGCACTCAGGAAGCTGAGTCAGGCTAAGCAGCATGAGTTCAAGGCTGGCTACAGAGTGAATTCCCGGCTACCCTGAGCTGCCTGATTGAGACCCTATCTCAAAAAACCAGAACAAAGCAAAAGAGTCTTGACACACCTCAAATTTTTGACACCGGTATATTTTATCCAAGTATGTAGCTTTTACCCAAAAGAAACTTTTAAATGTTTGTAAAGAAGCCGGCATGGTGGCGCACGCCTGTAATCCCAGCACTTGGGAGGCTGAGGCAGGAGGATCTCTGTGAGTTCGAGACCAGCCTGGGCTACATAGTTCCAGGTCAGTCTCAACTACATAGTGAGACCCTGTCTCAAAAAAACAAAACAAAAACAATAAATGTTTGTAAGGAATTGTAACAATTTCTTAAACTGTTCCAGTTGTACAGATGAAAAAATATTTGTGAATATAACGATTATGGTTTACAAATGCTGGCTGCAGTAAGTTACACATCTTTAGGGGATTTTTTTTTTTTTTGTAGTTAGTGAATTTACATTTATAACAATCTAAGGATTCTATTTATAATTTGGTATCTAGAATTTTAACTTGGCATACTTACTCATAAGCAGGGTAACAGACTATACCATCTAAATTTTCCAGATTTGGGTTTTAACACTCTAGAATTTTTCCTCTCAAATACTACTTACGTGAACCAAACAAGCACACTGGTTGACCCCTTGGATCATTGTTAATCAGTGTTGCTGAGACTGGTTTTGAGATAAAAGGTTGAACTTGGGTTGGCACCAGAGGAAGTAATCTTTGAAATTCTAACTCTTTTTTTCTCATTTATCAGTTTCCTAAGCCCATCGAATAAATGTACCAAAAAGGTCTGGTAGCCCAAAATTAAGATTGAGCATCAAGGGCTGGGGATTTTGCTCAGTGGTTCCACCGTGTCTGCCTTGCAAGTGAAAGGACCGAAGTTCCATCCCCGGGACCAAAAAAAAAAAAAAAAGATTGAACATCTATAGACTCAATGATATAATTCATATATACTGTAATTTAAAAATTTATATCATCTCTTATTATATGCATTATAAAATGAGGAATATTCTGAAAGTTTTTTCTTTTGGGGGGGCCATGAGAAAATGATCTTAAAATTACAATTCTCAGTAAGAATGAAACTGGCTGTTTCTGTGTTCAGCACGATACTGATTTTGGCCACAAGATGGAGCACTAGTCCCACTGCGCAACTTTAGAAACCATGTAAGGCATAAGATGACAATGAAATGAGACTTTTCCAGATCCCGAGTAGCATTTCTAGTATTTCTTCAGGAGGTAGACCCCCTTCCTCTCCCCTCAGGAGGCAGTCAGAACCTCGATGTCCGAATGGTTCACCTCTGATGCCACACTGTGGTGCGGCTGGTCAAGCCCCCCTTTATTCACTGGAAGAGGGAAAATTGAGGGGCTGCCAAACACAAAACTTTCATTTTTTTTCCTAGCCCCTTTATTGGTGTTCCTGTCCCTTTTCCATTTATGATGGCAATGAATGTGCTGCACATGCAAGGGAATCCTAGCATCTGTCTGGCTCCTAGCTGAAGCTGAGTGTTAATAGCCTTCTTCCTGCCCTGGAGGCAGGTCACAGCTCCCCCAGCTGGGGAGGCACAGCTGGCGGCAGGCGTCTGCACTCCTGCCCTCACTTTGTCTTTTCATCCCCTCTGCTGAGCCTCCCTCATTTGCCTGGATCCCAAGCCACTGTCCTCTGGGACTTAAAACCCTAGTTCTTGACTTCAGTTGGTGCATTGGCCACCTGAATTCCACGGTTCTCTATAATACCAAGAATGGCTGCTTGATGTAGCCTCATTTTGTAAATATAGAACCATTTTTTGTGGGGCGTGGTGGCGCATGCCTGTAATCCCTGCACTTGGGAGGCCGAGGCAGGAGGATCGCTGTGAGTTCGAGACCAGCCTGGGCTACATAGTGAGTTCCAGGTCAGTTTCAACTACATAGTGAGACCCTGTCTCAAAAAAAAAAACAAAACAAAACAAAAAAAAAACCAACACATTTTTTTTTCCAGCAGAAAATTTGTGTAATTAAAAATCACAAGCGGGTGTGTCAGTGCACACCTATAATCCCAGCCCTTGGCTGAGGCAGGAGGATTCTGAGTTTTAGGCCTATCTGAGCTACATAATGAGGTCTGGGCCAGCCTGAGCTACACAGTAAAATCCTGTCTCAAACAAATATATCACAAGCATAGATGCTCCTAGAAAAATGTTTACTGTTGGCAGTGTCTCTGTCTTCACTAGTACTCACTTGTTCTTGTTCACTTATCTGACTGCCTGATGGTGTTCACTAACAAAAGGCTAATGGTTTAAGAAGGAAAAAAAAGTTTTATAAGAAAAATTTTCTGAGGGAAAAGCAATTGAGCAAAATAAAAAAAAAGGTTTTTTTTTCTCCTTTTACCAAGGAAGAATTATGTTGTTTGGTTATTCATAGACTATGTACAATTTACGTTAAATTGTAAATAGCAATCAAATCTAAAATAAAATTGCAAAATGCACTAATGAATTCATTCTGCTCCTCTTGCTTCAGAAGACATGAGTCATAGGTCATTGACGGCTAGAGAAGGGTATTTTCTAAGTCTGGAGAGTTTGCCAGACCCTCTGGTGATGCTTTCTTTATGTAAGTTATAGATGTCACCACCTTCATACCGAGTCAGGAGGGGCCGGGGGACCTTTCACAGTAGACCCACAGTTCGGAGACAAATCTAGTGCAAAGGCAGCTGGTGTCATCAGATTAGTAACATTAGCGATGTTCGTGGAGCTCCTGAGCATCTGTCCCTAGTTCCCTTGTCTGGGAAGGATAGGCCCAAGGCCTGTGCTGCTTCCTTCTACCTTAGGTAGCTGGGATTGTAAATTTGAGGTCAAGAAGCTTAAACTGCTGGGCAGTTAAAGCTTTCATTTCCATCTTTCTATCTAATACTCAATAATTCGCAGCATCTGGCCAGCAGTGTACTTGGTATGATGAAACCCAAAATGTTTTCATTTAGCAAACTTTCTCCTTCAGATCACAGCTGTTTCTCTTTAAGATTTGGGTGGGAGCAGCCTGGGAATCTCCAAAGAAGGGGGCTGTGTAGTCAGTGATGGCTTTCGGCTGAGTGGACCCTGAGCGGGCCAAGGACACAGTGCTTCAGTTCCCAGGAGTCTGCGCACACAGCCGTCACCAGCCAGGGTCCCCAGGCTCCCGTCTCTGACAATCAGTCTAAGGAGGCAGGGTTTACTGCTCTGCTAGCTCAGTCTCCTACCTGTGAAGCTCACGTGTCACTCAGGTTTTCATTTCCGGAAAAACAAAAAGTGACCAGGGGAACAAAAGGACACTCCCTTGAATCTTGGCCAAGTTCTCAGGATTGAGAATTTTTCCAGATCACCTGTCATCATTTCTTTTTTAGAAAAGTGACTCAAACGGCCATTAAGACATAGAGCTTGCAACACATTTGGGTCAGTGCTGCTGTCTTCCTATTGTTTTAGGTGGAACTGAGAGCACCCATCTCGTAAGTGTCAAAAGAGCGACTTCATTGGGGGTTGGCTCCATTTTTCCATAGGTCTACCATTTTGTTACTTTGGGAAAATTGCCGCCTGTCTTCCCCTCAAACTCAGTGTGACATCTTATCTGTATAAGTTGTTTGCTCACACACATCTACAGAGCAAAAATGATCCATCACAGGCTGTAATTTTTTGTGGCAGTCTCCATCTTAAATGTATTCGTTTCCCTCAAAGGAGTTTGCAGAAATTTGATGTTTTCAAAGAAAAGGCCTGCCGACTCATTGACAAGTATATCAAAAGGTAAAAGTCTAATTGAGAGGAACTTCTCCCTCCCCAGGCCAGAGATTGTAAATACGTTCCCAAAGTCAGCTAGAATCAGAATCCGAGTGTTGAATACAGAGGAGTGAAGAAAGAAGAATTAGTTGGAAGGCTCAAGTGGAAATAGAAGATATATAGGCTGGTAACCTTTACATTATGATTTTTCTAAATTCTACACTTTTGCTGGGTGTGGTGGTGCATGCCTGTAATCCCAGCCCTCGGGAGGTGGAGGCAGGAAGATTGCTGTAAATTTGAGATCAGCCTAGACTACATAGTGAGTTCCAGGTCAGTCTCAACTACATAGTAAGACCCTGTCTCAAAAAAAAAAAAAAAAAAA